ATTATATGCTGTGAGGGGTGCCACAGTGAGCTGTGCGGTGCACGGCGCTACGTGTGCAAATCGTGCGCAAACCGGCGCACCGTTGTGTGCCGCAACTATGCAGCCAATGCTTCGTCTGGGTCGAACGCAGAAGTCTGACCCAGGGATTTGACACCATGGGTCTGACGCACACGCACCCGAGCGGACGCCGTCAGCCATGGATCTGACTATACCCGATTGGATACCATGGATCGGAGTCATCAGACCCATTCCAATATTAACAAGTGAGTTATCTAAGCTCCAAGCACATGTACATGGATTGTTGATAGTCAGATGGTACTACCGAAGATGCTAGCCAGTACTGTCAAGCGGTTCCAGTGGTGTGTGAATGGGTGTCTGTGTCTGTTCCACAGCATGTGATTTCAGAGCCGGACTTCTGTGTTCGACCGAGACAAATCTTTTTTTTTTTTTTTTTTTCCCCTGACTGACAACTCTTCGTTGAAGGTCAGCTAGAAACAATTCCCAGCCAACACTATGTCTGCATCAGTCTCGGAAGTCGAGATGGTACTGAGCGGGTGTGTGTCAGATCCATGGCGTCTGACAGGCCTCAAGTTTGTGATTCTTTACAGGCCTCAAGTTTGTGATTCTTTATAGGCCTCTAGTTTGTGATTCTTCATAGAACACAGCACCACCAGTGGATTGGTCGTGTCTGTTGTTCTGCCCCCTGCACACACGCGCGCGCGCGAGAGAGAGAGAGAGAGAGAGAGAGAGAGAGAGAGAGGCAGTTATGTGAACAATTCTCTGGGGCATGAAAATGGGGCCGTAGTTGCCAGAGAAAGAGCATTTCCTCTTTCCGCTGATCCCGTGTGTGGTTATGGATATGGATTGAGAAGTTTACGGCAATTCATTCTTAGAAGCACAAGTGATTCAGAGGAGTCTGCTCCATCCATGGGGATATGGTTCGCAGGCGGATGCTTCTGCTTGATTCCTGGTTTGTGCTCATTTGCATGATTCATTTGGTTGACCAGTCCGATCACGACTTTTAATCTGAAAAAGAAGAGACAGAAGGGAGGTTTGAAACTTGTGTGTGTGTGTGTGTGTGTGTGTGTGTGTGTGTGTATTACAGAAACAATAAGCAAACTTCCAGCACATCTTGCTGAGTATGTGCGTGTCGGTGGTGGGATGCGAGGACACCATTATGGCCACTATGACTTCCTTTGTGGACGACATGTGAGTATGACTGTATGAAGCCATATAACCAAAATGCTGTGTTTATCTTTTCATCCGTGTGGCATTCTCAACCGGTCGAGTCACGCTTTTCTGAACTGTGAAGATTCAATGAAGAACGTTTTCTCAGCTTCTTTTTCTTTTGCGAGGATCTGGGTCCTCGGCAGGCCTAAGGGGCCTCTTGCTGCAGATGTGCCCGCCCTAAGTGATGGCGGGCCTAACAAATCACGAGAGGCCCTAAGCTGTCAATTTCGTATTTGGGGTCCAGGCAGTTTCGCCGCGCCGATTGGTTGAGGGAAACACAGGCCGAGTAGCGAGACATTCCACGGCCTTCCAGGCCTTTCCAAAATGATGCAGGCCCTGGACGAGAATCGCAGGCTCATACACAGACAGTTGGGAGGCCCAACCGAATGAGGCCCAGTAGCTGCAACAGAAGTGCAGCATCCTGGGGCCAATCGGAAGCTTGTGGACCTAGGCCCAGGCCAGCCAGGCTGCGAAGGCAGGCGGGCTCTTTCCATACAAGAAAGAGCTCGCTGCCTGGAGCCTCATTCAGCACTTGCATGCTGGCGGCAGCGCTGCTGGAGCGGACGCTCGTGGGCTGCTGCTGGCGCTGAGAGGCAAGGTGCTAGCGCGTGCGGTCGTGCAGAGAGCAGGGCGCTGCTGAGGGCAGCGCCATAGCCCAGCCTCCATAGCTGGATGGGCTTGGACTACAGTGAGGCGCAGGGGTGGTCTTCCGGTGTACAGAGGGAAGACGTGGGAGTGAGTCAGGGGAGAGAGAGAAGGATGATGATGATGATGATGTGAGGGTACCTACCTGGTATTGGCGATGGTCTGCATTGGGCGACATCTTCAAGTACTTCGTGGGCTGTTGACGTCAACAGTTGCATAGTCAATTAGTAGGCAGACTGTAGCTGTGTAGGAAGACACTCATGTTGGTGGTGGTGAGAGCAGGCTCTCATTGACATTGGTTTTCAGTGTTACGATTCTTCATTGGTGTTATATTGGTGCATTTCTGCTTTCTGGACACTGTGATAATGTCTGGCCTTCAATGTGATTGTGCATTCTGGACATTGTCATCTCGCTATTGCTCATTTTCCTTGCAATTTGGTAGCGGAGCTGGTGGGAACTGCGCTTCATTGACTCTTCGCAAGAGCTGTTTGGTGCTTCGCACGAACTGTGGGGCAGTAATAAGGCTTGGGTGTTGAATGATAGGCGGCCAGTGTCGTGTGGGCGCGCCAGGAAGCTATGTGGTGACATTAGGGGTGTACGCTGCATGATGAGAGCTCGCTGATGTGACCTTTAAGCCGAGGTGGAACTGCATTCTGCTGTTGGTTGTGCCGAGGCAAAGACTGGTCATCATAAATGCACATCAGGTTGCCGGTGAGAAATCTGTGGTTGGGGGCAGCATTATGAGGTACGTTTCTCTCTTCCTTATCTTCTCTCGTCATTACTTTTACCGTGAGGAATTGAGTTCTGTCTTGAGAGTCCTCCCAATGTGAGGTGTCACGAGAGTCAATATTCTTCCTGGGAAGCAAGCTGGTGGGAGACGGGCGAAGCCTCTGAAGGGCCCTGGACGAAGCACTCGGGTCACGGTCACCATGCCAACCCGGCCGGACTAGTACACGCATGCTTTGCTGCAAGTCCTTGGTTCTTCTGCGGCGCAATAGAGGTCATGCAGGGCATGCCAGCCCTTTGAACGGACGCTCACCAGACTGTCTGCAACGTTAAATAATTCCTGAGGACCTCGAGGACCTTGGGGCTGCCCCGTAATTCCTGCAGGGGCTGGCACGTTCGGCATAGACTTGGGGCACAGGGGTGGACCAGATTGCACACCTTCAGACGCGCCGCTCAACCAGATGCTCAGGGTGTTCACACAAAGTGACAACTCAAGAAGGATACATGGAGAAAGGGGGGATTCCGGTAATGGTTCACTGTGGCACTGATTAGATGAAATGTCATCCAGCATGCATCTCCACAGGTAATTATTTTTATTTTTGATTACTTAGTTGTACGGACTTGTTAACAACTGACAGACGGCTGCAGATAGGTCAGTTCCTTCCTTGCTGCATTGCATTCTGTGTAAGAGTAATCTAAAAATAGAATTTACAGACGGCTGCAGATAGG